CAATGCGGTGGTCCAGCCTCTGACCTGTTACAGGTATGCCACCAAGCCTATGACCTATGTGGTGGGCATGGACAGTGACTGCTAGGTCAGAGATGTCACACAGAGGTACATCCCAGCCTGGATGACAGTGACCTGCAAGTATTGGGCTGTTGCTGAGTGATGCACCAAGACCTTAAGACCATATCAGAGCCTATTTATAGACAGGGGAAGAAAGACTTGGAATTTCAGGCAAAATACATGGACCAGTCTTTACCCACTGCCATTGGCTTATATAAGAACCACTCTCTGTATGCCTTGAAGCAGCATCCCCTAAAATATGAGGCCATCTCTCCAGAGACAGCTGCCATCCTTGGGTATTGTCGTGAAAAAGTGGGTATTGTCATGAAAAATCCCACTCCAGGGATTGTGTGCACACTCTTCACTCCAGGGACACATGGCTGAAGAAAGCAAGAGTGGTGAGGCATGGAGAAGTATCCTACAAAATGGTGAAAGGCTATTCCAACTATGCCTGGAAAGCCCGACTTGCTGAGCACCAGCTGGAGGAACAAAATGACCTAGGCCTGTTTGGCTACTGGCAGACAGAAGAGTATCAGCCTCTCGTGGCCGTGGTCTCCCGCCCACTTGTTCAGGTGCCCAGAACAAGTCAGGGAATGTGTACCTCTTCCTGCCCACCATAATGACTGTTGGCTGTGTCCAGCTGGAGGACCTGCCCCATCTACAACATGTGGCCCGCAAGCTGGACATCAATCAGCTGTGCCCAGGTCATCACTGGCTTTGATTTCCATGGTGGCCACTCCCATCCCATGACTGGCAGATACATCGTCTGCGCGGAATTCAAGGATGTGCTCCTGTCCGCCTGGGAAAATGAGCAGATGATCATTGAAAAGAAGCAAAAGGAGAAAAGAGGGAAGTGGGCTCTAGGGAACTGGAAGCTGCTGGCCAAAGTTCTGCTCATCAGGGAGAGGCTGAAGCGTTGCTGCGGACTCAAGAGTGAGGCACCAGCTCCCCACACAGATGCAGGAGGTGGGCTCTCTTCTAATGAAGAGGAGGGGACTAGCTCTCAAGCAGAAGTGGCCAGGATACTGGCTCCCTCCTGGCCTCAAAACAGGGAAGATAAAGAAAAGCAGAAGCTGAAGGGTGGCCCCAAGAAGACCAAAAGGGAAAAGAAGGCAGCAGCTTCCCACCTGTTCTCATTTGAGAAGCTGTGTGCTGAGCCTCCACTACAGGGACACCAACCACTTGTTGCCACCCCGCTACAGGCCCCACACCTGCCCTGGGCATGCCCAGCCCCCGGTGATGGGGGCTTCTCTGCTGAGATGGCAAACTGAGGCAGCACGCACTGAGGCGGGGCCAGGAAAGAGGAGGTGGAACTGAGGAGGTGCTGCAGGTCCAGCCTGGCCCCAGCCCGGTCCCAGCCCTTGTCAGACTCACCCAGGATGAAGCCTTCAAAGCTTTTGCTACCAAAGCCCACTCACTCTTTGGGCTACAGAAGACTTTGCTGGAAGACACTTTTCTGCCTCCTAGACCTGTTCTTCCCATCTTTGGAAATGTCAGTTTTTGTATGGAAGCCACTGGGAGATTTCTGGATGGTGGTACATCCATGAATGCACTGATCCTTTCTTCTAGTTAGAGGCTTCATCTGTCTGACAAGTTCACTTGCCTCGGTTGCGGACCTGGGACCCTTTCTCTGAAGGTCTGTTACCTTCCCCTGAACCAGGCTTACTAATGCTGCCCTCACTGACTCTGCATTAGGGAAGAGAGCAGAGGCGAAGTACAGGTCATCTCAGATTATGGAATTGCTGGGATCTAGTTTTACAAGTAACATTTTGTGGTGGCAGAAGCCTAGAAAAAGAGCTAAGGTCGTGGAATAAAAGGATAAACACCAATTGAAAATTAAGGAACTGTTAGTAAAAATAGATCAGTGTTAAACTAGATTCTATTCATTACTAGATAAATGTGTAAAGTTCTCTGTACTATAGATACTCAGGAGAAATAACATTTATAACATTTTGAGAAAAAAAATAAAGTTGTTTTTTTTTTTAAAAAAGGCAAGGTACTCTTATAAAACCATCAGATTAAAGACTTACTCACTACCACAAGAACAGTATGGGAAAACTGCCCACATGATTTAATTCTCTCTCACCGGGTCCCTCCCACAACATGTTGGAATTATGGGAGCAACAATTCAAGATGAGATTTGGGTGGGGATACAGCCAAACCATATCATAGCCAGCTGAGCTCCTAGACAGAGACCGCTAAGCAATTCCTGGACCCCTGACTCCTGAAAAACTTGAGATAATAAATGCTTATTGTTTTAAGTAACCAAGGTTGTGATCATTTGTTATGTAGCAACAGAAAGCTAATACAGTATTCAACAAGAGGATGAATGTGTTATATTTCAATATTGAATCAGAATATTTCATTTCATGGTATTGAAAGAATATGGGTAAATTAAAAATGTGTCCTTACATTTGTCAACAGGTACAAAGTTACAGGTAGAGAGAAGGAATAAGTTTTGGTGTTCTATTGCACATAAAGGTGACTACAATGAACACTAATGTATTGTGCATTTCAAAATAGCTATGAGAGGATTTTAATTCTCACCATAATTAAATAACAAATATTTGAAGTAATATACTAATTAGCCTAATTTGATAATTCCACAAAGTATACATGTATGAAAAGATCACGTTACCACATATGTATATATGCAATCATTTGTCACTGAAAAAAAAAAACTATAAAAATGTGTCATTAAAAATTAATTCAATGTCTGAGTTTTTATTTAACATGCTTTGGTGGTAAATTTTCTTAGACAATTTACCAGTACATTCAAAACTTGTATTATATTTCTAATCTCAGTAAAACTAAAATCATAATCAAAATAATAAATTGCTGCTTCTCTTAAGAAAATTTGGGCAAGTCAATAATGTGTCAATGTTTTTCCAACATGGAGAGTAAACATTCTCACCATGTAAAAAGTATATAATGCCAAGAATAGTCGTATAGAGGTCACATCAACTGATCAAAAACTGATGTCCTTAATCACCTGTAAAATGAGTTAACCACTTCTTTTAAAACAAAAAGAAACTGACTGGAATTCCACTACAGCAACATGGTCCATCTGTAATACTCTCAATTTAAACCCATTTTTGCATGACACACATGTCCTTAGAAAAGTAAATCTGGGCTCTCACCATTCCATTTTGATGAAGTAAAGCAGGGTCAGAATAACTGCCACAGATGAGTCCATATCTGGAAAGGGATACTGTAGGCTAAACATGTCAGCATTCTGTACTTTGAGTCAAGCAGGCTTGTCCTCAGCAAACCACAGAGCAAATGAAATTAAATGAAGCCTGTGGATTCTACAGGTCCCAGGGCAAACGTTGGAGTCCTGATCCAAGACCCCCTATAAAGTTCTCAATTTTCAGCCAGGAATGCATAAATGACCTTTGCTAGCTTCAGGACTTTCATACATTTTGCTTTTCTGGCATTTAATGGAGTCTTATAGAGACTGAAGTTCCCAGCGGGCAGTGTTCCATTTTGTGTAATTCCACTCAGCACAGAAAATAATAAAGGGATATACCCTGAGACGGTTTTCTCTAGGTTCAAGTACGGTAGCACTTTCCTTGACGTTTCACACAGGACAAGGAAACAAGCCAGGAGAGGGGAGGGGGATACCTATTTTTGCATTAAGCACAAGTGTCTTTACATGTACTATATCACCTCCTTTATAATTCACAAAGTATTTAAATACAAAGTTGATAGTTAACAGTTACTGAGTACCTACAGGGTACCTGCACTAAGTGCTTTAAGGAATTATAGTAAGTCCTCACTTAGCATGACAGGTTCCTGGAAACTGCTACTTTTAAGTGGAAAGACATATTTAAAAATGTGGTTTTGTTGTTGTTTTGCCTCAGCAACGTTATAAGGAAATGACTTTGGGTAAAACATTATTAGAGGAACCTGCTATATGCATTTAATTCTTTACACAACTGTATGAAAAAATGTTCCTGTATAATTGTGGTATGGGTAAGGAAACCAGGGCTTAAGGAGATTAGCAATTGGTGAGATGAAGTTGAATCACATTTATTTAAATTAAAATCCACATGCTTAACCACAATGCTTTAAAGGCTTCCCTTGTATATGCTGTATGGTCAGTGAAGGGACAAAAGGAAAGACAATGGGAATATTCTATTCCCAAGGACAAACCTGTGGTATTCATCCTGGTAATAATAATATTTGTTTAATCGAAGTGCATATGTATGGTATATTACAAATAGCAAAGTACCTTCCAGAACGCATGCCATTTAATTATCACAACAGTCCTACTGGTGGTTTGGTAGAGCATATAGTAATGTCATTAAGAACCTAACTTTGGGGTCAAACAGGTTTAGGCTTAAATAGTAGCCCAGAAATTTATTAGCCCCACAACCACGAGGAAAGTAATGTCTCAGTTCCCTCATCTGTGACAGGTGCTAAGATACGCCTATCTCTAAGGGTAGATGACAGGATTATTTGTCAGTGAGCACATGCAATAAAAATGTTTGTGGTCTTGTTTTATGTATTATGAATCCTGATTCCCAGGAGTAAGAAGAGTTGGCACCAGCCAGAAGGTAAGAGGTTGGGCCAAGTTTTCTTTCTTCAGTAATTTTCCTTATCCCTTAGGCCATCCACATATGTAGAATGTGGGGTTTCCAATACTCAAGTTCTCCCGTCCCCACCCGGCTCAGCTGAAAGCCCATCTTCTGAACTCCTGACTCAAGGCGATACACGAGTTCCGCTAAACTCTCTGCAGCCTTGCTTGATTGAGCAGCCCAAACTCAGCCTGGACCCCCCTTCGCCCCCCTCAAACACTGCGTCACAAGCCCCCTGCGAATGTTCACCTGGAGCCTGGTTCTGGCCAGAACCCGGTCTTGCGCACGGGGAGGACGATTTCGACCCCAATTGGCTGTTGCCCTGGGTGACCAAGAACGCGGTAGGGACGCGGGAGGCCACAGCGGGTATTTAAAGGCTGCCGCTGCCTGTGCCACACCAGTCCCGCCAGGACGGCGACAGTGAAGCACCTGGGTTGAGAGGGAGCAGCAAGGTAACCGCGCAAACCCTGCCTCCCCGGCCCCCGCCCGCGCCTCAGCCGAGCCGGGTGTGGGGGGACCCAGGAGTGTGTCTTACTGCGTGTCACCTGCCAACACCTTCCTCCCCCACCATCCTTACCCAGCCCCAGTCTCACCCAGCATACCTGGGCGAGACAACCCGGGTGCGAAGGACAAGAGATTACGACCGAAGAGCGAGCAAACCAGGAAGACAGCGGCCTCCTGGAGAGGAAAACGTGATCCCAGGGGCAGACACGTGGCGCTGCGTGAAGAGACAGGGTGACCAGACGACGCTCTTCCGACCGTCCTGTTTGGCCAAACTTGACGACAGCTTCTGGGTCGCTACCATCTAGACCTCTCAGAGCTCCCTGAACCATGACGGAGACCCTCAACATGAGAGAAGACCCTCTGAACCTGGGCGGTGGCGGGGCACCCTCGGCCTCCCTGCGCTCCTGGTCGTCCTGCCACCGAAGGCGCCGGGGCGCTCCCGTGTACAATAGATGGCACCACTATAGCCCCAAGACCGAGTATGGGCCCCCAAGGAAACAGCCAAAGCAACAGCACGGCCCGGGGTTTTGGTTCCAACCACCCGTGTGCTCTAACTGGGGGTGCTGGGGAGGGCCCTGGCGCCCACCCCCTCCGGGATTCCCGAGACCCCCCGGCCGGGTGCAAGTGATTCCCGTGTACGGCCTGCACCCGCTCTGCTTTTGCTGCTGCTCCTGCTGGAGCGGATCCTGGAACCCTGGCTGGGCGAGGCCCCCAGGCAGGAAGAAGCGCTGGGGCCGCAGGGGCCGTAGAGGCCGCGGCCCGCGCCACCACCCTCGCCGCTCCTCCTCGCGGAGCCCGCCCGCGGATCTGAGCACGCTGCTGCGGCCGGCCAGCCCGTACGAGTGGCGAGCGCCTGGCATGCGGGCGCCGCGCAACACCACCCAGTTCATCATGGACCAGATCTACGAGGATATGAGGCAGCAGGAGGAGCTGGAGCGCCAGCAGAAGGCCATGAGGGCGCAGCCGGCGCTGGTGGGAGGCGAGGCCTCGCCGGCCGGATCCTCCGGAAACGGCGCGCCCCCTGGCGGCAGCGAGGAAAACTGGGCGCTGCAGGAAACTTTGTATGACCTTGTGCAGAATCCTCTATCATTCAGTCCTACCCCAGAGGAAAACCAGTCTCCTGCCCCTATGCTGGTGAAGGAAGAGGAGGAGGAGGAGAAAAATGATGATGAGTATGACCAGGAGATGTGTGATGCAAAGGAGGAGAGCGAGGAGGAGGAAGGAGAGGTCGAAGATGAGGAAGAAGAGGTCGAAGATGAGGAGGAGGAAGAGGTGGAAGAGGCTGAATATGTGGAGGAGAGGGAGGAGGAGGAAGAGGAGGAGCTGGAAGAGGAAGAGGAGGGCCTGGAGGAGAACAAGCAGGGAGGGGAAGAATTTCACTTGCCTCTGGAAATGCCTTTGTCAATCTTCATAGGGGCTGAAGAAACGAGAGAGAACTTTATAAACTGTACTTTTTTAAACCCAGAGCAGATAATTCCCAACGTACCACAGGAATCCCTGTTCCTGGCACAGGACTTTAACTGTTAGACATCAGAAAAGGGATTGAGGAAAAGGATGGAACTGATTTGAGGCTAAACTGGATTAGCAATTTATTAAAAACTGATTAAAAAGTGAGTTCCATTAATAAACAGATCTATGTAAACACCTTCTTTGGCCATTATAAAATGTTTAAAATTTGACGTGGTTGTGTATGACTATGGGTGGTGGTGGGGGAGCTTTCAAATATAATTTTACTGGAACTGATTAAAGGTCAAATATTTTATTACATACATTTGAATATTTTCATTTGATGCCTTCCCCTCTAGAAAATTGAGTTGTTTTTTAAATCTGGTAATGCTGAAAAAAATGCTTTGTTTTTGCAACAAATTTATACAACTTAGCCACTTACTGATCTTGGAATCAAGAGATAGTTTGTTACATGCTAAGAAGGACATTCTAAGGCTCTTAACCAGTGCTCTTAACAAAACTGAAGCCATTTTAAATCCTTGCCTTTTTTCAACAATATTTTTCCTAATAGATTTTTCCACCTTCAGAGTTCATTTTTGAGGGTCATATTTTCTTAATCCCATTTGCAGTCTCTTGTGGCATCGCTCATTTATATTCCTTGTTCCACAGTGCTATGGATCTTCCTCAGAAGAACAAGAAGTTGCTTCTGTGGAACTGGTTATCTGCCATGGCCTCAACAATCCATAATCCATTCATGGAGAGGATTCCCCATGGTCAGAAGTCAACTTGCACATCTAGTTAAAATCCAAGGTAACTGCAAACAATGGAACATAGCTTAGGTTTTGAAGCCTGGTTATTGGATATAGTCTTTGTCATAAGTTCTGAGCAGCCATAAAGATAGTTTTGCAGAATGGATTTTTTAAAAGAAAAACATTATTGACTTTTTGGGGATGGATTATCTTACTTTGTTTTTCAACTTGTCTTCCTTATAAAGGAGTAAAACAAAGACGTGTAAGTGTGAGTCTGTGTGAGCTGGTTTCTGATATCTACATAGCAATTACCTATGGAGAATACATCATTCATAGTAACGGCTTTTGTTCAAACATTTTTAGGAAGTAATAATATGTTTCTTCCTGGACAGTTAATAAAAGTTCCATCCATAGCATATTTCCAGGATATCCTTAAATGATGAATTTGAATCTGCTATCTCAGAAATTACATCATTTGACTTTGAACCACAACTTAGCATTTATTTGTTGAAGAGAAGAATGTGTGGTGATGTCTTACCTGAGTGTTGATTGTTACTGATATATTGCAGTTTTCAAGGTGATAAGCTTAAGCTATTAAATAATTTAAAAAAGTATTAAATGAAAGTAACTTGCCTCTCATTTCTCATTATTTAAATATCACAAATCTATGCAGCAATGCTTCAGTGGCCAAAAGGATGAATAGAAGAGAGGTGGAAAAAATGTAATAATTTTAAAATTACACCAAACATTCCAAATTGCAGTGGTGAATAACCAAAACTCTAAGAAATAATTACTTTCTACAAGATGGAATTTCTTAATGACCTCTAAAACTAAAATTAGTCATCTCTGTGTTTTACTGTTCTAATAGGTGTATGTAGAGGGAAATCAAGAATCCACCTCCTAAAGCTAAATAGTAAATCCTTGCAAGTCACAGCCCATAAATACAAAAAGTCAAACTTAAGTGTGTTCTTACTGGAGAAGCCTTTTTTCGTTTTAGATTAGATGTCTTCACAATCCCATCCAGATATTTCTCTATTTCTTCCTCCAAAATATTTTACTTTTAAGGATTCACTACATATTAATTGTCTCCATATGCACAAGGTGTTATTCACTCATTACTTCAAGGGATGTAAACATGGGCAATGCCTCAGTAGTCTACATTCTTGCTCATGAACCATTGTTCAACAAATATTGAACTACTGGGGGCCAAGCACTGTGAACGGTGATAAGAATAGTATAGTGAATAAGCAAAAACACTCTCTGACATTGTTATTGTTTAGCAGAAAAGTCAGACATTAAATGAGTTAGATGGATGGCTCATTGCAAGTGTTCTGAGGGAAAGGTACCACTAAAGAAACATAGAGCACTGGAGTGCCCATGAGTAAGGCTGAGGATGTTTATTGTGGGCAGAGAAACCCGTAAGTCTAAAGGCCAAAAGCTGGAAGGAGCTTGGTGCCTTTGAGGAACTGAGTGTCTGGACAGACCAGAGAGACTGGAAACAACAGCCAATGAAAGTGAGAGAAGTGTGCAGAACCCATATCACCTATTCACTTTTATGCCATCCATATCTTCTGAAATAGATACCAGCAAATATTAATGTGAGGAGAAAACTATTAGTCATCGATTATTCCCTACCTGAACTTTTTTTTTAATTAGCCAGATATTGTGATGCTTGCTTTAATAATCCTGATGGCTAATATGGAATAATTAAGCCGCGTTAGGGGTTGAAGGGATTGCTCATCCCAGAACACCCACCATCCTAACTACCCACTATCATGTAACGCGGGGGATCCTAGGGTTTCCTGCTCAGCATGATTGGAGCACCATAGTTCTCAACTCCCAGGGAGAGCCTCTTGCACCATGTATTCAGTACAACTTGATGATCCCATAGCCTTTACAGTGTTAGTATGGCTCTCAATAACCCAGTCTTTACTTTTGGAGGTACGTGTACACTTGAAAAGAAAAGACAATTTTCCAAAATAAGCTCGTTATTATTAAAATCATTTCACCACAATCCCAGCACTTTGTGAGGCAGAGGCGGGTGGATCACGAGGTTATATGGAGACCAGCCTGGCCAACATGGTGAAACCCTGTCTCTACCAAAAATACAAGAATTAGCTGGGCATGGCAGTGTATACCTGTAATCCCAGCTACTCAGGAGGCTGAGGCAGGAGAATAGCTTGAACCAGGGAGTCGGAGTTTGCAGTGAGCTGAGATCGCGCCACTGTACTCCAGCCTGGCAACAGAGCGAGACTCTGTCTCAAAAAAAAAATCATTTCAAACTTTATTGGTTGAACACAGTGAGGATGAGGAAAGAGCTGCACTCTTTCCCAAGATAATATTCCCTGTCCTTTATCGCCCCTCTGCCCCTGCCCTTGCCCCAAGTCCATGATGTGTCCTTTTATGGTTGCCATAGCCAATAAAGTCATTTCTTTGAAGAATGGAGCTATTTTGTCAATTGTCAGAAAAATAACATTATACATCATAAACATGATTAGAGGTCCTAAACTTGATAAGCATCTTTGCTGTCTATTTTGAGGTTTTTGTTTTGTTTTTTTGTTTTGTTTTCTCAAGTAGAGATTCTGGCATTTTCATCTTCTAGAGACTGACAGCATTTCTTGATTTGTCTTCATTACTTTGTCTACACAGTAACTTAGAGGAATTTTATTTTATGTGAAAAGGTTAGCCCTCTACAGATGGTAAATACACTTGACATCTAGAGATCAACTTTGAACTCTGAGCATAATTTTATAAAATTTTAGCACATCCATATATGAGGAAGATAGTATTTCTAACATCTTTAATTCCAGTAAAATAAATGGAAAAAGCGAAATGACCAATCTCCTGCCAGTTAACACCAAACCTACAGATCGAGAAAATAACTGATACTTCCCCCATAAGTGACAATGGGTTTTAAGGGAATCGATAAGACTAAAAAAATTTTTTTTTAATTTTATTTTGTTTTTAGCAGGATAACAGAATGATACATGCAGCCATGTTTTGTATTCAATCAGGTTTATGTTAATGTAAAACAATGTAAAATTACTCAATGCTGTCAAATCACTTTGGCCTTTGATATTAAAATCAAAACCAGAATGTGGCTGTCTTAGCTGTTTCAGTACTAGTGTTTTTCTTTATTTAGTTTTAGTAAATTAGTGGAATAGAGTCCAATATCAAGGTCGGCTGATGGAAGAGAAGGAAAGGGTTAGGATGTGGTGTGGGGAGGCCTGGATGTGTGGTGTTCTGCTGCCTAAGTGCCCTGTGCTGGTAGCCATTTGCCTTGGGTTTCTGTTTCCTCAATGTTAGTGATTATACTTGATTACTTCAGCATATTGTGAAGACAAAATACCCAATATCTAAGCAGAATTGTATTTTAACTGCAAAACACTGTTGACCCTTACCCATTAAACTACATTTTATAAAGTTATCTCACATAAATTCTGAACATTAGATCAGTCTAAATTTATTAGCAAGGCCCAGAAAATCTCATAGCAATTCTATTGGGCTGACATATCAGATATTTCAGTTGTTATTAATACTACAGGACTAAGTATGAACCAACTTGTCCTTGAAATGTAGTTTTGGCTTCTGGCAAAACAGTATGTAAATGGACACTTCACACCGTCTACTGCCTTGACATTTGAAGTATGGCCCATGAACCAGCAGCACTGACACCACCTGAGAGCTTATTAGAAATGCTGAAGAAAGCCCAGGCTTCCCCAGACTTGCTAAATTAGAATATGCTTTCTAACAAAGTCTCTAAGTGATAGGCGTGTATGTTAAAGACACAGAGCCTCTGTGGTTTAGGTGTTAGACCCACCGCAGAAGGCTCATGGGAATCTAATGATTAACTATATGGTTTATGCATTAAAAACTATCATATTCTACTTGTATGACCTCAGGATTGTTACTGAAATTTTGACATCTCATCTATAGTACCTACCTCACGAATGAAATGAGATTATAAAGACTAAGTGAGATAATAGTTACCAAGCACTCTGAACAATGGCAATCAATACTTTGTAGTTATAATAAGTATTCAGTAAATACACAAATGAGGCAATAGACATATTACGTGGTGTCTAGAAATTTCTTGTTAGTGATGGAGCAACTATAAAAGTAAAATCTCTCCAAATAACAAAATGATTCATTAAGTCTGTCCTATTTCCGCTAGTATAACTATAATCAGATTCTTTACCTTTGAGCTGCAGACACCATTATGCAGCCTAGCTAAGAACCAGTTAAATCTCTAGAGCTGCACTCTTTCCCAAGATAATATTCTCTGTCCTTTATTGCCCCTCTGCCCCTGCCCTTGCCCCCAGGTCCATGATGTATCTTTTTATGGTTGACATTAATGCTGTAATGGTTGGTGTTAAGAATTACTCATCCTTTTCCATAGAAGCAATGGATAGTTGAATGTATCTTTTCAAAATCAAAATGAAAGCAACTGTAATACTTGAAAAAAAAAATCTGTTTGTAGTGGCTTAATAGTTTATGTAAGTGATATCATGACAATCTAACACATGAATATTTTATGCATAATGTATACAGATATACACATTTGGTGGGAAAAAAGTTGCCTGAGTGGGATAAATTGTTATAAATGTTGTTTTGTTGCTTCTCATATATAATTAAAGTAAAATCCAAATTTTACTTTAGAAAAATATTCATAAGAATGTATAGGTAATTTTATACCTGTGTAAGATAACTGGATATCATTCCTCATGTTACCTCTTTATCGAAGGTTCTGTTTTATGCTACACTTAAAGTTAAGCTTATTGTAGATCAAGATACAGATACAGATATATGAAAACGCCAAACAATGTTTAATGCCTGTTGTAAGTCACTTATACAGAACATTTAAACTATCACAATGTAAACCTCAGATTTCAAAACACATTTGAGTACATACAAGGTGGTTAACATACATTATCACATTTAAACATATAACTACTCTATGAACTAATGCTTTTTTTCCCCTTTTTATGGATAAAATAACTGAAACTGAAAGGAAATTATTTCAGGACCCAAGTTCCCTATTTTAGTTAAAAGCTGTAGACACACTGTGTTACTTCAACATACTGTTGTTTTATTTCAAACAACTTGTCTAGAAACAAAACTTCCTTTAATAAATTTGACCTGACTCCATGGAGGGTAGGCATCTAGAGAAGAGATGCTAAAATCGTTATTTCAATTATAATTCTTATGCTAGCACACACGAATGTCAAGGGTGTGATATGCAAGGTTGATTCACCCTTGCTAGACCACTGGGCTGGAATCAGTCATCCTAGAGTATAAGTGTTTTTTTTGTTTGTTTGTTTAGTTTTGTTTTGTTTTGTTTTGTTTTTTAATTATTAATGGCCAGGAGGAATTAAAAGAGGGTTATTTGGAGGATCAAGACACAGAAGAATATACTGTTCTACCTATCTATTGCTGCATGGTAATATGAATAGTAGTTCTACTACAAGGGGCGGGGTGGGAGGCAGGGAGGGAGTGTTTGAGACAAATGTATTCCTGGAACAAACTACATTTAAATACTTCTCTGGCATTGCCTCAAATCAAGCATACATTCATTTCAAAATAAATTCAGTCAAGATGGGTATAACAAGTACAGAATTTAACTTTTAGATGCCAACCATTTTAGAAAATCCGGTTACATACAAATACTTGTATAAATAGAGGTACATAGCATAGTTTCTCTAAGAGAAAAATCCTATATTAAGAAGGATTCCCAAGAGGAGTGACTGACAATTGCCCTCCTTGAATGATGGGCAGTTATTGGATACTACAAAATAGAGCTAAAATATTCTCTGTGACCATGAACTCTAGGGCCTAATGCCTTGAAACTGTGAGCTGCTAGTGACTTTTGACAAGTTGGTAGGGTCATTTCTCTGCTGCAGATGTTACAGTGCCCTAGTGGGTCTACCTTATTATGATAAACTGATTTCTAGCACGCAGACCATGCATGTATTTCTAACTCTGGTTTCCAACTACTAGAGTATCTAGATTATCTAAATTATTGTAAAATTATTGTAAAATTTAACATACAAACAATAGGCTTAAATAAAAAGCTCGTAGAGTTTGTATGTTGAAAGGTCATCTGCTCAAATCATTTATCCCTCCTATCTTTTTATACAGAAAATATCTGAATGTTTTCTATATGAAGATCACATGCAGAACTGTTTTTTTTTTGTTTGTTTTTTTTGTTGGTTTTTTTTTTTTTTTTTTTTGCTATATAAAATACGTGGTCCTATTTCCAGCAATAAGAAGGATGGCTTGAGCCCAGAAGATGGAGGTTGAGGTGAGCAGAGATGAAGAGCAAAATGCTTACCTAGTGAAAAAAAAAAAAAGGAAGGCTTTTGCTTTTGACCATAATTTCACCAGTTGGTCCTAGTTTTGCACTATAGGAAAATAAACAAAGATATTATATTTCAAACACAAAAAGGACTTGGCCGTATTTGGATTTGGACATCTTTTGGAAATGCTCCCCTACTTCTTTATACCATTGTTTGTGTTACATAAATTTTGACTTGTCATCTTCCTAGGCTGCTTGCTTCATTCTAAATATTTTTCTTTTTCTTTTTTGGGTGTTGTTTTTAGAATGGTCATTCTAAACTTAAGACACCAATCATATACTTTCATTTACTCTTCATTCACTCTTCTCATGAGCTGGACACTATATTTCTAGTCTGCTATTAAGACTGTGCTGCCTAAATTCAATACTGTGATTTCAATAAATAAATGCAATGTAATATTTAGTGAAGCATAGTAGACAGTACCAAGAGTTGTAATAAAATTTTAATGGTTACTGCATGTTCCTTTACTTTTTGATTTCTTTCAAATTCTATTGGTGATATTTTATTATTCTGGGAAGGTTATTTTGAGTAAATTTTTAACACCTAAGACTAGAAATCCATATTTCTCTTTAAAAATTTAGATTTGACATTAACTGGCATTTTTAGCTGTTATTTTAGCTATTAATATTAGCATCTTCTGATGGATTCATATGGCATCTGAAATTTTTATAATGATTGATAATTCTGTTATGCATTATTTGTGTATCCTCTCCTATGAATATATTTAGATTATTGGATGTCACTTTTAGTCCTAGTAATTTAAGACTCTTAATTGGTGTTCATTTACCATTTCTCACAAAAATTTCTATTAGACTAGACATTTTATATGACATTGATCATTAAATAGTACTACAAAAAACAGAATTGTAATGCTGCCATATATAATTACAGTTTTTATTTTTTATTAATTTTTATGGATTGCAGAATTTCCTTGGGCTGGGAGATTATGATATAGGATGGCAAGCTGAGATCAAGACTAAGTGGCTCTACATGTTCCCCTGGTAACACCCCATGGATTTTTCCAAAATCAATGTTCATCTTTTTTGAAAAAAGAATAATACCTATTTAATGTTTTCCCTTAATCTTAAAAAAGGTTTGTGAATTCTACATTATTTCCTTCACAAATATTTAATACAAAATAAATTTAATAAAATAGCTTACTTTTCTCTCCTTCACTGCCTGTTTTGCCTTAAGTAGAACTTACGCTCTGCAACTATTTACGTATAGGCGCCACCTAGTGGCAAAGGCAAAACATTTACACGTAAGTTAATGATACTTTAGCTGTTGTATTATATTCACAGATGCATCTTTTGGAACACATAATACATTAATACATATGCAGAAAGAGTGTTTTAATGGTGTTGTGACAAAGAACTGTATTAATATATTTAAACTATTTATTTGAATATACTGCTATATGGTTTGGTGTTTAAAAGCATCCTTTTGAACTACAAGACTAACTACCAAAGTGTGTGAAGGAAAGGGGGAAAACATTGGCCCACAAGAGTCCTTGTATTTCTGTGGATTATTATTTTAATACAGTTATAATAATTTTATGCCATGAATCATATTTTATCTGAAGGCATTTCTACAGTACTTCTATTTGAATTCCTTTTGACAATATCATCACTAATTAACAATCTGCACTTACAGTGTATCTGTTTTGCTTTTAATACTGACAATAAACAAGACAATTATTAAATTTAAAATTGCTAAACTAAATAATGCTTAACACTTTAATCCTGAGGAATAAAAATGAGCATACGTATCCATTGGCCTAGTAGTTAGAGCAGGACTTGAGATAGTCACCTCCTGGGACTCAAACACGGTATAATCTGTTAATGATCATAGCCACTAATTAGAGTATATCTTGTTAGGGAAAGAAATAAACTTGCTTGTTTGCTGGTCTGGCACCAAGAGGATAATTAATATTTTTATTGCGGCCTGATTCCCAGCACTTTCCAGCTGCATACCTGCATCTAATGGGAGCACAAATCAATGCTAAGAATGGGTTCTGCCTTAGCCTGAGAAGTAGTTTCTGCATTTACAACTGCCTTAGTGATGCATTCATCAGTTACTCCAAAGTACTTCTAGAAAGAGGTGCTTTGTACTTCCTTAACACTTCACTTTATTGATACTTCCAGTATCCTTTAAAAAGTATCTTTAATTACCTGTGGTTCTCTTATGTCTAGAAAAGGATACAGGCCAAGGAATTGATCATCTTTCTATTTCCAGCGCACAGTCTTGCATGTAAGAAGCCCATAATACATAATTTCAATATTTAAAAAAGAATAAAATAAAAATGTATCTACGAAATGATCTATGATTCTTAGGTAGTTCTAACGGAGAAACGTAGTTACTTATCTGTGTATGTACTAAAACCTATTTCATTGGGAAAGCAGAAGAAAGAGTAAGTAGAGACTCAACCACATTTCTTTTACTCTGAACTGTGTGGTATAATAGCCCGGTCCTCATACACAGATTTGCATAGGAACTGAACACAATTTTTTGGCTCTTGGTTCCAACTTGCTGGGCCACAGAATCACCATGAGTGTGAACAACCTGGAAAATACTCGTAGCAATGTTCCTGTTTCTAAAAGGCACATGAAAATACATTTTTAGATTATTATAATTTTACAACTTAAATCACCTGGTAAGTTTAGCCAACACTTATTTTATTCTGTTTCGCTTTTGCTGAGTGCTTACCATGTGTAGGACCTGTGCTTAGAACATATACTTAGTTTAGCAGTGAGAAAGCCAATGCTAAGAGCTCTTGACCAACTTACCCAAGGTCCCACAGCTAATAGGTCACAGAGTTTGGAAGCCACACAGTCTGTTTTTTTATATCATGAAGTCCACCCTGAAATGGTGGGAAGCGTGATAAAATCTTAGATTCAGTTCAGATTATTCAAGGACATAACTTTGCATCAATATCCAAAGCCAAACTTTTGCAGTCATTCTGCATATCGTAATGCTGTCCTGGCAAAAGTGCTGAGTCTCAGTGATTGATGTCCAAAAGTTCTGTGATAAATTATTTATGTGATTAGATGTTTTAAAGAAAGTAAAGAAGCAGAGTGCAAAATTGTGCTAAAATATTCACATTATTAAAGCGGTTCCCTGGCCCCTTTTCCCTTTCTTCTAAGGTGAAAGTATAAAGCTACTCTGATTGCAGAATTCTTCATTCTCTAAGTTAGGAATCAGCCTTTACTAATGGAAGTGGGTGCAAATGGATAACTGCTAGCTACTGGCAGGAGAAGAGCCCTTGAGCTGTTATATGGGAGTCACAATTAGAAAAAAAAATAAAATACAGTATATAAACAAAGTAATAGCCACTATCTGGAAGTCAGTTGAAAGAAAATGGCTATAATGAAAAATGGAAGTTAAAAGTTGAAAAGATTTGCCATGAATACATCAGGCATTTCAGAGTAGGCAAAAATCTAAATAGACAATATGGATTACATTTAGTAAGAAAGAATAACTTGTCTAAGAATACTATTATAGGTAAGATATTATAACTCCTATTTCACTGAAAGTACCATCAGATTCAGCCAGAAGTATAAGAAAAGACAGGGAGTTTAAATGTCGGTACACTTAAAACATATCCAGCTGGCAAACCGAAGATAATCAGTGGCTCTTGAATTTAGCATAGCTAAGCAATGTTACAAGTGGATTGTCAAGTAATTTAAATGATTTTAATAAGCGGGGATAAAATATCAAGTTAACTTATCCAGGTACATATTTTCATCTTAGTTAATCAAAGAATCTTTTCTATTCCATGATCAAATATACTACTGATTTTTAAAATTATATATACATACACATACACACACAGAATGTATGTATGTATGTATCTATCTATATGTAGTGTGTGTGTGTATATATATATATATATATATATACACACACACACAAAATAAATAATTACATACTTATAATTTCATATGACAAAACAGTTACCTTTGGTGTACCACTTGCTTATCTATGGAGATGATTAGGGTAGGTATAATATCAAAAGGGATAGAATAATTTATATTTATCTTTACCTTACAATGGTTAACTATGCCTTCTACAGCAGACTTATCCCTTTTTTTTTTGGAGAGGATAATAGATTCCATAAACATAAGCTTCAGAGGGCAGGCCTAATTTGAGGGGCTGTTTATTCATCCATTCAGCCATTGTGTCTCATGTCCGTTCTAAATGTCAAGCATTCTTCTAAATGCTAAAGATACATCTAGGAGTTATATTCAAATTGTTTAACCACTGGTTCTATGAGCACCAAATAAGCAGAACAGACACTGCCCAAATGGCACCTCAGAAATAATTGCATATAAAAATATTCACTGTCACCAAGGGATTTTCCACTTTATTCAGAAGATTGAGTTAAAAGGCAATCACTAGACAATTTGACAACTGTTGTTCTAGTAATTGTAAACACAGCATAGATAAAACTTTTTCAAAGAATCCCCTCCGTTTTTTCTTCCATATTAGACTCTTTCCGGTTTTATAACCTTAATGCATTAAAATTTATGATCCAAACTATCAAATTAACCAAAAATTATCTTCAGAGCATGAAATTTAAAATCATATTTAGGACTTTTTAGAAAGTTGACTTTTGAAAATAGTAGCTTGTTTTTGTAAAACAAAACATAAATTTTTTATGGCTGCTAAATCATTTCAACTTAAAGATATGTTGCTCTCTTTAAAGTTCCCATATCTGCAACTTAGCATGTAAAGAAAACACGGATCATATTTTATGTTAAATGTGCTTTTAGAAAACACGGTGATTTTCTAAGACATTTATTAAAAATATCAGAAATTGGGCCATGCAGTGGCTCACTCCTGCAATCCCAGCAATTTGGGAGGCCAAGGCGGGCAGATCACGAGGTCAAGAGATCAAGACCAACTTGGCCAACATGATGAAACCCCATCTCTCCTAAAATATTGGGCATGGTGGAGCACACCTGTAGTCCCAGCTACTCGGGAGGCTGAGGCAGGAGAATTGCTTGAACCAGGGAGGCGGAGGTTGCAGTGAGCCAAGATCGCACCATTCACTTCATCCTGGCTCCTGGTGACAGAGTGAGACTCTGTTTCAAAAAAAAAAATATATATATATATATATATAAAATATATATATATATATAATATATTATATATATTATATATTACATATAATATATATTATATATATTATATATGTGTGTATTATATTTTATATATGTGTGTGTATACATATGTACATATATGTATTTATATGTATATATCAGAAAGTGAAGTAAAGAAAAATAATCCATTTTTACTTGAATTAACCAAGTAAATTATTTCCCACTTTAATTGCCTCTCATTTGGAGATATAGTTATAAATTCTCAGAAACAAACAAATAAGTTGAAGAAGAAATGTCTTTGTTAATTTTTGAGACTGAATTCACATAGAAATTCTTTTACATGTTAGAATCTTAAACACTTCCAGGGTACTGATTAAAACTATTATTTTTAATTGCAAAAATTGCCAAAAATGTAAGTTCTATACTCATAATTAAATGGATATCTATTTTCTAAAAAATATATATATATATTATAAACTCTCTCTAGATATGGAGGGAGACATTAAAATCAAGCCCTTATGAATAAAGAAAAGCTACATGCAGTTCTATGTTCATTAGAAATAATAAAATTTTACACAAGCACACTTTCTAGGCCTATAAGGTAGTCTATTTTCCCTAGGTGGCCTACCACATTTGCTGAAATATGACACCATTTTGCACATTTCTTTTTCTTAAATATATATGCCATTAAATATTATGCAGCATGTGTGGTGCATTGCAGATGTTGCATTGACTTGTTAATTTCCCCTAGGTGGCGATCTTTTCAAAGAAGCTGTACAGGCACTTCCATCTAAGAAAATTGAGCTAATACGTGTGTATATGTATACAAAGATATATATACACCCGCTCTGGCTATTAATAATCTCTAGCTATTAATAATACTATCTTCATCTACACAGAAGAGAAAATACAATTTTGGGGGGGTGACACAATATGAATTTAAAACCTGTTCTCAAAAGTCTTACAAAACTGGATATGTGGATATTAGCTACTTTAAGAACTTAAATATATATTAGAGAAAATATATTTCAGAAACATTAGTTCTGGGATTGTGGTTAGTTATGGATGCAGCAAGAAAAATCATGCTCAAATTTTAGTCTGGGCTCATTGCTTACAGCTTTTTTCCTAAAGCTCCGACATCTGTTATTTAATAAATAACAATAGGTTTCATCTATCTCTTTAGAGTTATAATTGTTGTCACTGTTTTTCAGGCTGTCCATAGCTGCTCTTTTGTGACAGCTCCTTTAGGTGGGGTATCCCACTGGTGAATGAAACAGGTGACCAGGCATGGCGAAGCCACTTATACCTTAGCCCGCTCCATAATATACTGAAAGACAGGAGAAGCCATTAAAACAGAAAAACAGCCTACCTAAATGTAGATAAATGATATGGAGCAGAAAATATTCTAAAATTCAGAAAAATAAAACCTTTTTTCCTATTCAGTCTTCTTATTTCTATATTTATATAGAACATATAAACCTTCTGAGACACCCATACACACTTGACATTTGTACATATAAAATTAGCCTTCCTCTGCTTTGGAATGTCACCTCTTGCTTTTGCTTTGTTTGTTATTTTAAATTTTCTCTTGCTCCACCCTAAGGCTTTAACCATATCAAGAGATGTGAGGCTGGCAGTGATGACACATGACTACAGCTTCCCTCTCCTAAATGCAATCACAGAGTAATCAAAGCATCCCATAAGACTTCAAAAAAAAAAAAAACAATATTACAGTAGTTATTTGCAAAGAAACTTTATATGAATTATGTACTTTGACATTTGCAAGAGCCTGAGCAGTCAAAAAGCAGAAATCATCACCCTTCCCATTTTACAGATAAACCTCAAAGAAATTAAGGGCTTTCATTAGAGATAAAAAGTTGGTCACTAGAAACTTAAGACTCAAAGCTTTTTCTTATCCCTTTGTATGCTCACTAATGTTTTGGCTGTAACCAGCTCTTCATAATGGGACTCATACTGCGTCTCCACTGCCTTCGCTTGGCTTCTTCCTGCTCACAAATACCATGAGGTTGCTCCTGTATTCACTATGAGGAGTAGTTTCAAATTTAAGATGAAGTTTCTAAATAGCCTCTGGATAAGGATTTATTGAAACGACTTAGACAAACCTCTTAACTTTATGTTTGGTACCCTGAGCAGAGACCATGGGCAATAAAATTAAGCACTGGAGTTCGATGTCCTTACTAAAACTTTGGCCAGAATGCCATTTGGATCTTTGACAGACTAACTTTGTCTTTCAAACTTACCCTTAGTGACTTATCAAAACGTTAAGTCCATCACCTCTGTTATCTCAGTGTATCAATCCATTTTCCCATAAAGTCTCATTGATGCTCCTTTTTCCCAACTCTTCACCATTGCCTTCCTTCTATACTCTTTCCACTGTAACCTTTGGAAACCTCCAATCAGAACCAGCTACAAATGTGTGGGGCCCAGCGCAAAATGTCAATGCAGGACTCTTTGTACAAAAAGCAGGCAAAAAAAAAAAAAAAATCATTTTCCTTCTGTGATTTCTGTCTAAACCAGTTAATGGGGCGTTTTTTGTTGTTTTGTTGTTTAATCTCATGCTCTTTGGGGCATGGATTAAATAATATGCCAGGCAAGTGCAAACTCTCACAGATACCTGGGTCCTGCCCACAACTCCATCTGTGGGGCTCATATGCCTGACTTTGTCCCTTCTCAAGCCTATGCCTAGGCCCCCACTAGGAGTAGCAGTTGTCATTGGGCAGGGGAGGAGAGAAGATAGCTGTGATTCTGTCCTACGAAGGTGAGGAGGTGGGAAATCAGTGGAAAGGCAGTTTCACAGGTGAGCCAAGATTCCAAGCCCTGGCACATCTACTAATATTCCATCGGATTCCACTTACAGAACACAAATTCCAAGATAGCCTTGTTAAAAATTTCAAGATGATATCCACAGAGCATTAAGCCCCAGTAAAAGGGTCCCTTTTTAAGAGTGAGGATCTATTTGAGGGCACTGAGAGAAGTCAGGAGATTGGGCCTGCCCCCCTCCACAATAAATGGCTTTCCCAACATTCTTGACCTTTTTACAGGTCAGATCTCTGTCTTACTGAAATCTGGTGCTCCTCAGAGGTACTCGGTTCCTTGGAACCTGCGTGAGCATGCATTGCTTATTCTCTCATGCTCATGAGAACTGGAGGAAAGAGGAGCAGAAAGAAATTTCAGCTTCACAATGCTGACTCACTCATAAAGCATTACTGTTTTGACCTAATGTCAGTGAGGTGCATATCCTGACTATGGTTCCTTTACACTCTGCTATTTTCCATCACTCAGCTCCAGTATTCTATCCCTCTTCCACTGATTATTTCATTGCCTCTAGAGTACAGCTTTTTTTCTCACCCTCAAACCTTGACATCCCCCAGCTATATTTACAATCCATGCAACAATCTCTGTCACAGGCCTTTGACGTCAGCCCCGTTGCTCTTCAACTCCGTTTTAATAACTTAATTTTGAGGTTATATCTTGCATTTTGACATAGCCAGGAGGCACCAGAACAAGGAAATTTTACATTTTAACTTCCTGCTTTTTGGCAATTTTCCTCTGTTTTGTTCTATAACCCTTTACTCTCATAAAGACTGATACAACTTTTTTAGGGGAGAGAAAAGATTATTTGGATGCAATAGAAATAGAATTTTGTTTTCTCTCAAGGGTTTTAAGTTATGACATATCAAATTGTCCAATGTCTTATGTTTTGTGTCTTTGTAATTGATTTCATGCACTTTTGATAATATTATCACATTTCCAACAATTTTATATGGATACTACTGACACACACACATGCACACACACTTCCATTCTGGAAATTCAAGGTGAAGGAACACATGCTTTTTTTCCACTCTTCATCCTGCTAACTCTCCAGATAAGTTCACTACAAATCTTCTTTGACATTGTTGAGAGTCTCAGACCCTCCAGAACTCATTTTTATTTCATTCTGCCAAATTTTTCTGACTTCACTGTAATCAGTAATGTATACATTTTATAATCTTACTTGAATTACTTTCTTAAAAATATTTTATCTTTTATCTTTTGAAATATCTTCTTATCTCTTGTATTTCCATTGAACCAGCCCAGGAAACATAAACTCAAAATCAATAATAATGACAAAAATTTCTACCAAATATTGCATGTTTGATATGTTTCATCCTGGTTTTATCTGATTGAATCTCCACAGTGATCTTATGAGGTGAATACAATTATCCCCAATTTACATCTAAGGAAATTGTGCATTAACAAAGTACAGTGACTTGTTTGTGTTATTTTTGAAGTTAGAATTTGTGGCTCTGAAACTTTAGTTTATAAAAATACTATCTAAGAAATTAAAAGTGACATAGATGCAATCATGGCAGACAGGTGGAAGACTAGATTACAGCTCAGGGCAGAACAGCTTGTGGAAGCTCATATTATGAATTTTAGCTTCAGATCACCTATGAGAACAAACCAGCAATCACAAGAGGACCCACAGACCCTCTGAAGGAAGTGGACTACTCCTGCATAACCCAGGAGACACTCCAAATACTGTGAGTGCCCCATCTGTGGAAGTGAGAAAGGGAGACCCTCCTTTCCCAAACACACACTGCCACTGGAGAAGCTGAAGATCTGTTTGCAAGATACGTTTCTGACTTTACCTGCAGCTGAGTCAATTTAGAGACCTGAGTGAAATACACGGGTAGAGGCAGCAGCAGAAAGGCTCTGGGAGCTCACTGCATCCCCTAGCAGGCTATTCCTGCCTGGCACAACAGGGATCCATCAGGAGGATGACCACAGGAAGAGGAGGTAAAACTCCACAGGGAGAAGAAATTCTTTAGGTAAACTTTGTAACAATTTGAACAGGGTGAGAAGCCTCCTGGCCAGAACTTGAGGGAGGGCAGAAACCTGGTGTGCAGGCTCCACAGGCATGGGAAGAACCAAGCCCTTTTCTTTCGTAGCTGGGAGATGGGAAACCTGGGGCAAGTTTTCAAGCCCATCCTGCCCTCTGCTTGGAAATAGACTTGGGGTTGTTGTGCAGGGGCAAAGTGGGAGTGAGACTAGCTCTTTGATTTGTTTGGGAGCTGGGTGAGGCCTACAACTGCAGGCTTTTTCCCACTTCCCTGACAACCTGCATGACTCAGCAGAGGAAGCCATAATCCTCCTAGGTACACAACTTCAGTCACCTGGGAATGTCACTCCCATCCCCCACAGCAGCTGCGGCAAGACCCGCCCAAGGAGAGTCTGAGCTCAGACACACCTCAACCTGCCCCCATCTGATGGTCCTTCCCTATCCACCTTAGTAGCAGAAGACAAAGGGCATATAACCTCAGGAGTTCTACAGCCCCACCCACTGCAGATCTGACTCCACATTACTACAGCTGATGCTTTTTGAAAAGCACCACCTCCTGGAAGGAATCCAATCAGCACAAAAATAGAGAAACCACCAAAGCTAAGAATACTTAAGGAATCCATTGCACACCACTGGAACAGGCACTGATATCCACAGTTGAGAGACCCATAAATGGTTCATATCACAGAACTCTGGGCAGACAACCCCCAGTACCAGCCCAGAGCCGGGACTCTCTGGGTGGCTCAACCTAGAAGAGACATAACAATCACTGCAGTTTGGCTCACAGGAAGCCACATCGACAGGGAAAGGAGGAGAATACTACATCAAGGGAGCAGCCTGTGGAACAAAATAATCTGAACAACAGCCTTCAGCTCTAGACCTTCCCTTCAACAGAGGCTACCCAAATGAAAAGGAACCAGAAAACCAACCCTGGTAATATAACAAAACGAGGTTCTTTAACACCCCCTAAAATCACAATAGTTCACTGCAATGGATCCAAACCAAGAAGAAATCCCTGATTTACCTGAAAAAGAATTCAAGAGATTAGTTATTAAGCTAATCAGTGAGGGACTGAAGAAAGGTAAAGCCTAATGCAAGGAAATTAAAAAAAAAAATACAAGAAGTGAAGGGAGAGATATTCAAGAAAATAGATAGCTTAAAGAAAAAACAAAAATTTTGGAAATTTTGGACACACTTTTAGAAATGTGAAATGGAAAAGTCTCAGCAATAGAATTGAACACGTTGAAGGAAGAAAGAGCTTGAAAACAAAGTCTTCAAATTAAACCAATCCAACAAAGATGAAGAAAAAAGAGTAAGAAAATATGAATAAAGTCCATAAGAGGTCTAGGATTATGTTAAACGACCAAACTTAAGAATAATCAGTGATCCTGAAGAAGATGAGAATTCTAAAAGCTTGGAAAACATATTCAGGGGAATAATCTAGGAAAACTTCCCTGGCCTTTCTGGAGACCTGGACAGCCAAATACAAGAAGCACAAAGAACACTTGGAAAATTCACTGCAAAAAGATATTTGCCTAGGCACATTGTCATCAGATTATCCAAAGTTAAAACAGAGGAAAGAATCTTAAGAGCTGTCAGGCAGAAGCACCAGATAACCTATGAAGAAAAACCTATCAGACTAACAGCAGACTTCTCAGGACAAACTCCACAAACTAGAAGGGATTTGGGGCCCTATCTTCAGTCTCCAAACAATTAGCCAAGAATTTTGTATCCAGCAAAACTAAACATCATATTGGAAGAAAAGATACAATTGTTTTCAGACAAACACATGTTGAGAGAAATCGTCATTACCAAGCCACCACTACAAGAACTGCTAAAAGGAGGTCTAAATAATAAAACACATCCTGGAAACACGTCAAAGCAGAACCCCTTTAAAGCATAAATCACACAGGACCTATAAAACAAAAATACATGTTAAAAAGCAAAAACAAAAAACAATAATACCAAAGTACACAGGCAACAAAAAGCACAATGATTGCAATGGCACCTTACATTGAAATACACTGAATGTAAATGGCCTACATGTTTCACTTAAAAGATACAGAACCACAGAATGGATAAGGATTCACCAACCATCTGTTGCCTTCAGGAGACTCACCTAACACATAAGGACTCATATAAAGTAAAGGGGTGGAAAAGGCATTTCATGCAAATGGACACCAAAAGTGAGCAGGGGTAGCTATTGTTATATCAGACAAAACAAATTTTAAAGTAATAGCAGCTAAAAGAAACAGAGGAACATTACATAATGGTAAAAGGCCTTGTCCAACAGAAAAATATCACAATCCTAAACATATACACTCCTAACACTGATGTTCCCAAATTTATAAAACAATTACTAAGAAATGAGATAGATAGCAACACAATAATAGTTGGTGACTTCAATACTCCACTGACAGCACTAGACAGATCATCAAGACAGAAAGTCAACAAAGAAACAATAGATAACCTACGCCTTGGAACAAATGAATTTAACAGATACACATACAAAACATTTCATCCAACAACTGCAGAATACACATTCTATTAAACAGTGCATGGCACTTTCTGCAACATAGACCATATGATAGGCCATAAAACAATCCTCAGTAAATTTAAGATCACTGAAATCATATCAAGCACTTTCTCAGACCACAGTGGAATAAAACTGGAAATCAACTTCAAAAGTAACCTTCAAAACCATGCAAGTACATGGAACTTAAATAACCTGCTCCTGAATGAACATTGGGCCAAAAAGTCAAGATGGAAATTTAAAAATTATTCGAACTGAATGACAATAATGACACAATCTATCAAAACCTCTGGGATACAGCAAAGGCAGTGCTAAAAGGAAAGTTTCATATCCTGAAGCACCTAGATCAAAAAGACTTAAAGGGCACAAACTGACACTCTAATGTCACACCTCAAGGAATTAGAGAAACAAGAACAAACCTAACTCAAACCCAGCAGAAGAAAGGAAACCACCGAGATTACAGCAGAACTCAATGAAATTGAAACAATAACAATAAAAAAATACAAAAGATAAACGAAACAAATAGCCAGTTCTTTGCAAAGATAAATAAAATTGATAGGCTACTGTAAGATTAACCAAGAAAAGAAGAAAGTAAATCCAAATAACCTCATTAAGAAATGAAACATGAGATATTATAACTGACATCACTGAAATAGAAAAGATCATTCAAAGTTACTATAAACACCGTTCTGCACATAAACTAGAAAATGTAGAAGAAATGGATAGATTCCTGGAAAAATATAACTCTCCTAGCTTAAATGAGGAAGAATTAGATACCCTGAACAG